GCCCGGCCGGGATCAGGCCCCTCTGGCCATGCTGCCTGCGGCACGGCCGGGGGCTCGCTGGGTGACGCCACCTCCCTCCACGCAGGGCCCCGGGGAGCTTCCAGTTTGGACACCAGGACAACGTCCCCTCCTGCACGCCGGTAAGGCCTGTCCCTGCCTCTCCGTGCCCAAGGTGTGGTGTCCCCTGTCCCCTCTATCCTGCCGGCCCCCCCTGACCCGCTGTCCCCAGGTGCAACGGGCGCTGCTGTCGCTCACCCTCTCGCTGGAGAAGCTGCAGGCGGTGAAGTGCCGCATGCTGGAGGCCATGGAGAAGGGGCTGAGCCAAGAGACGCACGCACAAAGCACCGTGCACATGCTGCCCACCTTCATCTGCTCCACGCCTGACGGCACTGGTGAGGCAGCCCGGCGGGGGGACGTGCTGCTGTGCTGCCCCCAGCCCTGCGCCCCTCGCCGCGGTGCCAGGGAAGGGTCCCGCAGGAATCCCCTCCTCGGGCTGCTTGTGGGCTCTGGGAGCTGCCCCTGCGTGGGGACAGAGGCCAGGAGCCGGCTCCCTGGGGCCCTGTGGTGATTTCAGGAGGGGAATTGCTGCTTCCCGGGGGTGGGCATCACTGGTTCAGGGCGAGGGGCAGATCGGGGGCTGGTCTCTGCCCGACGCTGCCACCGCTGCCCCGTAGAGAAGGGCGACCTCATGGTGGTGGAGCTGTGCCAGAGCCACGTCCGCACCCTGTTCGTGACCCTGCTGGGCGACGGAAACCAGAGCCCCCAGCTGATGTACAAGACCTTCGAGCTGCCAGCGGACAAGCTGCAGGGCACCGGGGAAGCGGTACGGGGTGGGGGGGGGAGATCATGGCACCACGGGGCTCCGACCACCTCCTGCACCCCGGGGTGCTGGGGCAGGGGGGCAGCTGCTCACCCGCTGCCTTCGCAGCTCTTTGACTTCGTCGCCCAATGCTGTGCAAAAGTTCCTGGAGGAAATCGGCAACCCCCAGCATCGCCTCCCCGTGGGCTTCGTCTTCCCGTTCAGCTGCAGGCAGACGGGGCTGGGCAAGGTGAGTGGGGCAGCTCGCCGGGGGGGGGGACAGAGACATCCCCGAGCCGATGGCCAACAGCTTGCCCCCCTGTGCTTTGTGCAGGCCTGAGCTCATCTCCTGGTCTAAGGGCTTCCAGTGCAGCGACTGTGGAGGGCAAGGACGTGGTGCAGCTGCTGCAGGCAGCCATCAACAAGCTGGAGGTGGTGTGGGGGGGCTGTGGGGTGCCAGGCGAGGGTCCCTGTCCAGGCTGGGGGCTGCCCCCCCGGGGATGGAGCTGACCGAGCCCTGCTCCCCGCCAGCTCTACCACGTGGAAGTCATCGCCCTGCTCAACGACACCGTGGGCACCATGATGGCCAGCAGCTGGGGGGGGAAGCCCTGCGAGATCGCCCTGGTGATGGGTGAGCAGCGGGTGCCACGGGGGGTGGCACGGCGCTGCTGGGGGGGGGCTGCGTCGGCGCTTAGCACCCCCCCAAACCTCGCTCCCACCCCCCCAGGCACGGGCACCAACAGCTGCTTCATGGCCGAGGCGCAGCTGGTGGAGGTGGTGGAGGAGAACAACGGCAGGATGTGCGTCAACAGCGAGTGGGGCTGCTTCGGGGACGACGGCGCCCTCAGCGATGTGCTCACCCCCTACGACCACCGCGTGGACCAGGAGTCCTCCAACCCTGGGGAGAGGAGGTGCAGCGAGGGAGGGGGGGGTCCCCGGGGGTCTCCTCGGAGCGATGGGGATGCCAGCAGGAGCGAATGGACCCCCCCGTGGTGCTCTGAGAGGGCTGGGGGTGGTGGGGCTGTGCTGGGGAGGGGGCTGACTCCCACCACACGCAGGTTTGAGAAGATGGTGGGCGGCCTCTACCTGGGGGAGATCGTCCGGCATGCCATGCTCATGCTGGCCGCCGAGCAAGCGCTTTTCATCGGGGCCAGCACCTCCGCCCTGGGGAGCAAGGACGCCTTCAAGACCCAGCAGGTCCTGGAGATCATGGAGTGAGTGCCCAGGTGGCTGGGAGGCCTGATGGGTGGGTGCCCCCGGCTGCGAGCGGGCAGCCCCCTGAGTGCTCTGCCTTGCAGCAACGAGACGGGCATGGCCAAGGCGAGGAGCGCTCTGGAGGCCCTGGGGCTGCAGCCGAGCGAGCGGGACTGCTGCCGGGTGCAGCAGATCTGCCGGGCGGTGGTGAGCCGCTGCCGCCGCGCTCAGCGCCATGGGGCTGGCCGCCATCCTCAGCCTCATGTGCCGCAGCCGCGAGCTGGAGCGGCTGGTGGTCAACGTGGGGGTGGACGGCGAGCTGCTACCGTGCCAACGCCAGGTATGGGGGGCTCCTGGCTGGGGAGGACGCCCCTCGGGATGCCTCAAGCCTGGCCCTCACCCTCCTCTTCCTCCCCGTAGGTTTGGGGAGATCCTGCAGAGCGTGACGGGGCTGCTGGCCCCCGAGTGCGCAGCCACCCTGGTGCCTGCGGCGGACACCAACGGGCTGGGGGTGGCCATGGTGACAGGCGGTGGCCCAGCGCATGTTGACCCAGCGCCACGAGGTGGAGCAGCTGCTGGCCCCGCTGCGGCTCAGCCGCGCCGACCTGGAGCGCGTCCAGGGGCTGATGAGGCAGGAGATGGAGCGCGGGCTGGGCCGGGACAGCAACGCCGACGCCTCCGTCCGCATGCTGCCCACCTACGTCTGCAACACTCCCGACGGCACCGGTGAGGGACAGGGAAATGAACGGGGAAATGAGCCCCTTGGAGGGGAGAGGGGGGTCTCTGGCCCCGCTCACGCCCCCCCCCCGGGTGTGCTCCCCGCAGAGAGAGGCGACTTTCTGGCGCTGGACCTGGGGGGCACCAATTTCCGCGTGCTGGTGGTGCGTGTGATGGAGGAAGGCATCCACATGGCCAGCGAGATCTACGTCATCCCAACGTCCATCATGCAAGGCACCGGCGAGGCGGTGAGGCTCCGGCACCGGGCGAGGGCTGGGAATGCCCCGGGGCTGCCCGTGCCTGGGGACAGCCCCCCCTGCGTCGCTGCAGCCTGACCGCAGCCCCTCTCCGCAGCTCTTCGACCACATCATCGAGTGCATCATGGACTTCCAGACCAAGCAGAACCTGATGGAGCAGGTCCTGCCCCTCGGCTTCACCTTCTCCTTCCCCTGCCAGCAGCTGGGCCTGGATAAGGTGAGGGGGCGGCGATGGGAAGGGTCCCCGGGTGCGATGCAGCCTGGCCCCTGCTCCTGTTTCTCTTCCAGGCCGTGCTGCTGACCTGGACCAAAGGCTTCAGCGCCTCGGGCTGCGTGGGGCAGGACGTGGTCCAGCTGCTGAGAGAGGCTGCAGAGCGCAAACAGGTGGGGAAGGGCTGGGGACCCTTCCCCTCACCCCCTGCTGGTGACAGCTTGGGTGCCACCACACCACGTGTCCCCATCTCCTGCCTGCAGCACCTGGCGCTGAAGGTGGTGGCCGTGGTGAACGACACCGTGGGAACCATGATGGCCTGCGGCTACGACGACCCCAGATGTGAAATCGGCCTCATCGTGGGTGAGGGGCACCTCTGCACCCGGGGGTCTCTCCCGTTCCTTGCCCTAGCTCTCTCCAGGCGCTGCTGGGGCTTGGTCTGGGGGGGGTGACAGTGGCGCTGGGCTGCAGGGACGGGGACCAACGCCTGCTACATGGAGGAGAGGAAGAACGTGGGCACCGTGGATGGGGAGGAAGGCCGCATGTGCATCAACATGGAGTGGGGAGCCTTCGGGGACAACGGCTGCCTGGACGACATCTTCACCACCTTCGACCGGATGGTGGACGAGAAAACCATCAACGCGGGCAAGCAGAGGTGAGCGAGGGGCCTGGCTGTGGGCAGGGCTCCGGGGGGGGGGGCAGTAAGGCAGCCGGGGCTGTGCCTGGGGCAGGTTTGAGAAGCTCATCAGCGGCATGTACCTGGGCGAGATCGTGCGCCACATCCTGCTGGCGATGGTGGACAAACAGCTCCTGTTCCGCGGCAAGCCCTCGCTCAAGCTCCAGACCAAGGACATCTTCCAGACCAGGTTCCTCTCCACCATCGAGACGTGAGTGTGGGCAGCCCTCGTGGCGGGGCTGGGGGGTGCGGGGTGCCCTCACCTCCACCCCATTTAATGGGACGGTGATGGCGATGCTAACCGTGGCCCTGCCCCGGCGCAGCGACGGGCTGGCCCTGCAGCACGTGCAGGACATCCTGAGGGACCTGGAGCTGGACGCCAGCTTCGAGGACAGCGTGCTGGTGCGCGAGGTGTGCCAGACCGTGTCCCTGCGGGCAGGCACAGCTCTGCGCCGCCTGGCCTGGCCGCCGTGGTGGAGAAGATGCGGGAGAACCGGGGTCCTGGCCCAGCTGGCCGTCACCGTGGGGGTGGACGGCACCTTGTACAAGATGCACCCCCAGTGAGTACCCCGGGGAAGGGGATGGGGGCACGGAGCCGCCCTGCTGGTGCTCAGCCGCCTCGTCCTGTCCCCGCAGCTTCTCCCACAACCTCCAGCAGATGCTGCAGGACCTCGCGCCCAACTGTGCCGTCACCTTCCTGCAGTCGGAGGATGGCTCAGGGAAAGGCGCTGCGCTCGTGGCGGCCGTGGCGTGCCGGGAGCCCAGCCCCTAGGGACAGCCCCGTCCTCCTCCTCGCCCCCAATAAAGCTCTTGGCTCCGCACCTCTGACTCCTGGGGTGAGGGCAGGGGGCCGGGGGGGCACCGCGCACGGCCGGGCAGAGCCGCACGTAGCAATATATATCGAATTTATTTACATTCACGTCCGCCAGACCCCCCGCCCGCGGCACCGCTATGTACATAAGGCCAAGTGTAAATACTTGAATGCACTTAATACAGAATTAAAAAAACTGGTCTTTACACAACACGGCACGGGGCCCGGGGCCGCCCAGCCCCGGGCGGAGACAGCACGACGGCACCGCACGCACCACGCACAACCCAGCGCCCGCACGCACCCCGGCCCCGCGCCGAGCCCGGCACCCACGGCCACGGCCACGGCCACGGGCAGCCCTCCCGGCGGGCACGGGCCGGGAGCCGTGGGGCAGCGGGGCCCAGGGGCCGGCCGGGGCCCCCTCCTGCCCCACGGTCCCCGGGAGAGGGGCCGGGGCCTCGCCGTGGCTCAGCACTCGGCCTCGGACACGGCGAAGAGGGCACCGTCCTGCTTGCCCACCTCGGCCACGGCGGCGGCCAGCTGCGAGAGGTTGCCGTTGGGGAAGTGCCGCGCCTCCCACAGGTTGAGGATCATGGCCGTGGGGCTGGGCTTGGAGGCATAGAAGCTGAGATGGCTGCAGGGGCAGAGGGACTGGCGTCAGGGTACAGGAACTGGGGACAGCTCACCAGTCAGCATCACCCCGCTCCCAGGGGTGCCACGGGTGCAGGATTTTGCCGGACACCCCCCTGTCCCCGTCCCCATCCCCACAGCACCTGTCGAGGTTGAGTTTTTGGGCCAGCGTCCTCCAGTCGGCTCCCCGGGCGCACGGTGTGTCCAGGCTGCTGATGATCTTCTGGCGGATGAGGAAGGGGATCTTGAAGGCACTGGGACCCACCAGGGCCGGGGAGCCCACCTCGCTGTCGGGGACCAGCCAAGTCCGAAAACCTCGTGTCCTGCAGGGGAGAGCACCACTGGGGGAGAGCTCGTCCCAGGGGTGCTGGGGGGGTTCCCCCCAGCCCTGCCCTCACCTTGGCGATGTTGAAGTTGATGGTGAAGCTCTGCCCGTCGCCCTCCACCTGCCAGATCCAGATCTTGCAGGCCAGTTCGCAGGTGCTGGGGCTGAGGCGCTCCAGGGTGAAGGTGCAGTGCAGGTAGGGCTGCAGCCCGCTCCAGATGTGGTAGAAGGGGATTTCCTGCGGCAGGGGCGAGGGCGGTCACGGCAGCGGGGACCCCCCCCATCCTTCCCCTGGGTGCCAAAACCAGGACCTGCCCCCCACCCTGTTCCCCTTACCTGGTAGCTGGCGAGCAGCTTGCTCTTCCAGAGCGAGCTGGGCATGTCGTGGATGGAGAGGCGCAGGTTGTGGTAGCTGTCCTTGAAGTGCAGCACACGGGGGGCCCCGATCAGCTGCCCCCCCATCTGCTTCTCCAGCTGGATCACCTCCTGGTGGCGTGGGCAGGAGGTCGGGCAGTGGGGCGCAGACCCCCCCAACCCTCCCCCAAAAAAAAATCCCGGCACAGGGTGGGGAGCCCTGGTACCTTGAGCGCGTCCTGGGTGTCGCTGAGGCAGTAGACGCGGATGTTGTACTCCAGCGAGGGGCAGGCGGCGGGCGCGAACAGGACCAGCTTGAGGCGCTTGGAGGCTGCCATGCTGAGGGACTCCCCGACCAGGGCGAAGCGCCCCAGCTGCTCCGTGAAGATGTAGCAGGCCTGCGCCTCCAGCTGGCAGTAGTACAGCTCCGTGCACGGCTCCGCGCCCAGCTGCAGCACGTCCTGCGGCACCGGCATATGCAGCCCCCACGCCAAAAAAAAAAAAAAAAAAAAAGCCCCCAGTGTATGGGTGGGTCCTCCTCCCCATCACTACCACCTCCGGTGGGGTACTCACCTCCCACGTGCCCTCGCACGACTGCTTCTTCAGCCGCAGGCTCCAGTTCTCAGTGCTGGCCTCCACGCAGTGCCCCATGGCCAGGATGGCGGGGCGCGTGAGGAGGACGCCGGGGGGGCCGCAGCTGACGATGGGGCTCAGCAGCGTCTGGCAGCCGGCTAGGGGCAGCCTGGGGGGGACACAGGAGTTTTTTATGGGGGCGATGAGCATAGTCCGGCACCCCTGCAGCCCTGATACCCGGTGGCCCCGGCACCTACCTCACCTCCTCGTGCTTGTGCAGCGTCAGGTAGACCTCGTAGATCTTCCCCCGCGGGATGGCATCGGGTGGGATCAGCAAACTGATGCCTGGTGATGGTGTTGTGTGTGGGGGGAACGCAGGCAGCAGGCTGAGCCCCCCCATCCCTGCACCCCGTGGGGCGACGCAGCCACCGGGCGGCCCCCCCAGCCCCCACCGTACCTGTGTTGGGGATCATGAGGCGCCCCCCCAAAAAGTTGAAGGTGCCGTAGGCCATGTTGCTGTTGCCGCGGGGCAGGGAGCGGAAATAGCTCTGGGTGGAGAGCCGGGCCACGAAGTCTGCGCCCTCGGCAGCGGGCGAGCTGTGGTGCAGTGTGTGCCGCCCGGCGCCCAGCGGGCTCAGCAGGTGCCCGTTGGGCAGCTGGAGCTTGGCGGGGCCGTCCTGGCGCGGGCACAGCGAGCCCTGGTAGGTCATGGTGGCCGTGCTGAGGTCGGGCTGGATGGTGAGCAGGCTGGGGTTGTCTGCAGCACAGAGCGGGGGCCGTGGTGCTGCTGCCCTCGCGTCGGGGTGCAGCCGTCCCAGGGGCTGTGGGGGGCACGGCCCCAGCCCCACGGGAAGGATCTGATGGGGCACAGCCACCCGCAGGGCTCCAAAATATATCAAGCCCCTGACCCCAGAGCACAGACCCTACAGGGCACAGCCACCCCCGGGGGTCCAAGGAGCACCCAGCACCAACCCTGTGCCCAGGAACCCTCTGGGATGTAGAGCCCCCTACCCACAGCCAGGGGCCCTATGGGATACAAAGCACTGACCCACCACCAGGGACCCTATAACAGAGCCCCTATCCCAGCAGCAGGGACACACAGCCACTTCCCAGAGACCCCACAGTGCACAGAGCTCCTACTCAGGGAGACACGGAGCATACAATCCCTCTCCAGAGTCCCCCCCCAGGAAACTGCCACCCCAGGGAGCAGGGCACGCCGTGTCCCAGCAGCGTGCAGGTGGCAGGGGGGGCACGCAGCCCTGTCCCCCTCGCTCACCCGCCTTGCTGGGCTTGATGCTGACGGGCTGGAAGCCGGCGGTGAGGATGGAGGAGTCGGCCACGTCGGCGTCCAGGCCCCCCTTCTTGCGGCAGTACACCAGCACGCCCACCAGCAGCAGCAGCACCAGGCACACGGCCACGGCGATCAGCCCCACGTACAGCGCCACGTCCTCAGCGCCCTGGGCGGCTGCGCGGGGCAGGGCGTCAGCACCCAGGGGTGCAGCTCCGTGTCCCCATTCCCCCGTCCCTCGGCGTGCCCCCCCCACCCCGTGGCACTCACCGGGGCTGCAGAGCTCGGAGGTGCAGTTGCGGGTCTCCAGCTCGGCGCCGTGGCACTCCTGGCCCCCGTTGCGTGGCGCGGGCTCCGAGCACTCGCGGCTCCGCCAGTGCGTGCACTCGGTCCCGCACACCGACCACTTGCTCCACTCCGACCAGGCTCCATCCACTGTGGGCACAGCGGGGGTCAGCGCCTCGCCTGGCACCCCCCCAGCACCCCTTCCCCTGCCCCGGGGCTGGGACGGACAGACGGACACACACACAGGGGGTGGGAGGACGAGACGAGCGGGGTGGGCGCGACGCTGGGTGCGGTGGGGCTGCAGGCGGTGCCGCGGGCACGGCAGGTACCTGGGCAGAGGGTGGTGCAGGCGCTTTTCTGCACATTTTGGCCCTCACAGAAAGCCCCCCCGTTGAGGGGCGTGGGGTTGGTGCAAGTCCGGCTCCGCTTCTGCCAGCCCCGTCCGCAGCTGGTGCTGCAGCCCGACCACTGCGTCCACGTCGACCAGCCGCCGTTCACTGGGTGGAGAGCGACCCGTCAGCGCCCGCCGGGCCGGGGGGGACGCCGGGGGACGGGGACAGTGACATCGGGGTGGCACAGCGGGGTGGGGGAGCAGCACGGCGGGGCCGTACCGTAGACAGTGATGGCGGCCGAGGCGCTGCGGCGGCGAGCCACGATGTTTTTGGCCACGCAGGTGTAGTTGGCGGTGTCGGCCAGGCGGGCTTGCCGCAGCACCAGGCTGTGCTCCGGCGTCACGTAGACGTTGGCGTCCAGCGCCGGGTCCACCAGCTCCTCGTTGCGCAGCCACTCCACCTGTGGGCACGGGGACGTCGCTGGGAGCCCAGTTCAGGGAGCACCCACGGCATCCCCACAAGGAAAGGGCACGCGTTGGCCCCCGACGCCTCGTCCCGTGGCTCACCTCGGCGGGGGGGATACCCTCGGGGGGGCGGCACGGCAGCACGATGCCCTGCTCGATGGACACCTCCCTGGCCGTCGGCTCCTGCTCGAAGTTCTTGCGCAGATCTGGGGGGGGGGGCGCAGCACCCCGTTATAGGGGCCAGCACCCCGTGTGCCCTGCCCTGCCTGGGGACCCGCCGGGGCGGCCCCGAACACTCACAGGCGATGCGCACAAAGGCCTTCTGGCTCTTGGTGGTGCCGGAGGAGCTCCATGCCACGCACTGGCACCAGTACTCCTCCAGCCCGAAGATCTTCTCCACTTGCTGGCGGGTGATTTCGATGCGCACCTCCATCACGGGCAGCCCTGGGACGGGAGGCAGCAGGTGAGCACTGGCCACCCAGAAAAACTCCCCATGGGTCCCCAGCCCCGTGCAACCCCCCAAAAGGGCTGCGCATGGCTCCCCGCGACCAGTGGCAGCCACCAGGAGCCAGGGCAGCTGAACCGGTGCTCACCAGTGCTGCGGTCGGTGCTGTGCTGCGTGACGTGGTCGCCCTGGTGCACCCACTCGCCGTTGCACTTGAAGTAGATCTGGGTGGCGGGGGTGGCCCGGCAGGCCAGGCTCACCGGCTTGTTCTTCACGATGTACACGTCCTCGGGCTCCAGCAGGAAGCGGGGCAGCAGGTCCGGGGACGCGCCGGACACGGGGGTGGCCATGGTCGCGCTCTGCTGAGCACCTGCAGGGACACGGGGACTCGGCCACCTCCGGGGCCACCGGTGACCCCAAGCCCCGCGGCCGCCTCTCCCCGCCGCCAGCACTGCGGCAGCCCCGGCAGCCCCCCCCCCGGCCCCGCCATCCATCAGCGAGAGGAGCAGCGCGGCGGCTGCGCCCACTGAACCCGCGCCGATCCCTCATGTCCGCACTTAGTGCTAATGAAAAGGAAATGTAGTGTGACCAATAAGGGACATCGCTCACTCCTCCCGGGGCGCTGCAGGCGCCCGCTGCCCCCCTTCCCCTGCACGCCGCAGGGGCCTGCATCCTGCCCCGCTGCATCCCGGCGAGGTGGGAGCCAGCTGGGGTGCGCACCCCATCTGCCGTGCCACAGGGACACGGTGTAGGGTGACACGGTGGCATGCCACGTCCTGTGTCACTGCCCAGGAGCTGGCACACGGGGGGTGGTCGTCCCCAAGTGTCCCCAGGGTGGTGAGGATGGGTCAGGCCACGCAGGTTGATCCCTGGTGGGGCTGAGCATCCCTTGGCATTGCCTGGGGGGCTGTGGGAGCCACCCCAAGGACAGGACGGTGTGGGGACAGCAGCGCTGGGGACATGGCACGTGGTGGTGGCCGTGTCCCCCAGCCCTGCAGGCAGCCGTGCTGCCCCCGCAGCCGGCGCCCCCGCTCCTCCCGCCCCGCGCAGGCGCCCGCTGTGGAAAGAGTTAATAAAACAGGGCCCTAAATAAGCATTTGATTAACAAACGATAAAATAGCGATTGTGTCACTGAATGAAGCTGTAATTGCTGCTGCTAATTGGCTGGTTAGGATTTAATAAGCAATTAAATGGGATGGAATGCGCAGTAATTAAGTGCCTTCGTTTGGCAACCGCCTGCCGCCCCCCGCGTGCCCGCCATGCCCCCAACTCGCCGCCAGCCCCGGGGTCCCCCTCCCCACCCGGGCAGCGCCGCCTGCACAGCAGGGACACGGGGGACACGGGTGTCCCTTGGGCCCTGGCTGAGTCTCCTGGGGGGCTCCGTGCCCTGCTGTCCCCCCCCCGGGCCGGATCGGGCCCCTCCAGGCCAGGGAGCGGGCGCTGAGCAAGCCCGGCCGCGGTGCCCAGCGGGACGGGCAAGGTGCAGCAGCTCATTTACGCGGCGAAGATAAACGGCCACCATAACGCGCCAGTTATTACCCCATCAGCACTTTTACAATGTCGCTAGCAATTAATTTAATTAAAACCCCTGTCCGGGATACACAGGCATTTCATATTTCACCGGTTTAATGACACCCACCCCCAGCTGCAGCCTGGGGGGGTCACGGCACGGGCAGGGACTGCGTGTCCCCCCGACGCGTGCCGGCAGGTGACTGGGGTCACTGCAGCCCCCGTGGCTCACCCCACAGCACCCATCGCGCTGCTGCCTCCTTCCCGTGCACCCCTGGCTGCCGGCACGTGGGGCCCCACGCTGTGCCAGGGGGGTGCTGCGATGGGCAGAAAGGCAACCCAGCTCCAAAGGCTTTATTTCTGAACTAAGCGGGTTGCTCTGCACAGCAATAAAGCTGCCGGGCTGCGGCTGGCACGTGGGTTAACGGGCTCGTGGCGCTCCAGGGCTCTGCCCTTAATCACACACGGAATGAGCACGGAGGGCGCTGAGCCGGGCACTGCCCATCGAGGTCAAGCAGAGGGGTGGGGGGCGGCAGCATCCACTGTGTGGGTGCAGCATGGACAGGACCCCCCCCTGGCTCCCCACTCAACGGGGCCACCAGCGCCTCGAGGGCAGGGTGGGATGGGCACTGAGCACAAGGCAGACCCCCGGAGCCCCCCGGAGGGACACCACCCTGCTGCTTGGCACTGTGCTGAGCACCAGGGGGGCTCTACCATGCTGTCACCCAGTCGAGGCACTGCTGGTCTTCAGCCATGGGCAGGGCTGGGGAACGGAGCTGGCCTGGAACCCTGGCAAGGGAGCGGGGGGACCATGCTGTGGGCCCCCCCAAGCCCCACAGGCACCCCAAGCACATCGTGGCTCTCTCCAATGCACCACGGGCACCCCACGGCACGGCCACCCCAAACCCAGCGTGCCCCCAACGCACACCACAGACACCCCCACGTCCTGTGGGCGTCCCACAGACCAGCGGGCACCCCACCCCACCCCACCCGCTGTGGGCGTCCCGTGCAGCGTGGGCACCATCGGGCCCCCCACGCGGCACTGCGCCGGGCTCCCACACCGCGCGGCCTCGCCGCTCACCTGCCGCTGCGTCGCCATGGAAACAGGCGAGATGCTTATGTCACCTTGGCAAAGGGAGCCGCCTAACTTGAGGAGGGTGGGGGACACGGGGACTGGGGGGGGGGGACAGGGGGGTGCTGGTCCTGCTCGTCATGGCCCCGGCCAGCCGCTGTCTCGGCAGCGGAACGGGTAATTGGGACGGCGGTGCGCTCCCAGCGCCGATAAATCACCGCCGGTAAACCTAGTGCATTAAGCGGGGCTTTATTATCAATTATCCCCCACCCACGTGGGCTAACAAGCGCAGCGGCGGGCCTAACAAAGGGGCAGCGTGCTGGGGAAACTCAGGGTGTGGAGGGGGTGCTGCGGGGCTGGCCACCCCCTGCCCTCCAGGGGGGATGTGGGCACCCGGCCCTGCCACGCGCAGCCCCCGCTGCTCCCTGTGCCCCCCCCCCCCCAGGTGCTGCCACCCCTGGGGGCCCCTCCACGAAGTGCCAGAGCCCCCCAGCACCAAACACCGGGTGCACTGCAGCCACTGGGCAGAGTGACACTGCAGGGTGCCCCAGTGGGGAGGGGACCCTGCCAGAACCCATCACACCCCCACCCCGGCGCTGTGCCCCCCACCCCCCAGCTTGGCCCCACTGCTCCTCAAGGGACTGATCCTGCTCCCAGCATCAGTTCCTGAGCTCCCCGGCGGTGCTGAGCGCGGCGCGCCGGTGCCTGCTGCGAGGAGACGCGGGGAAGGTCAGCGTGTTCTTGGCGAGGAGAGCCTGCCCGCGGGCGGCCGCAGCAGCGCCAGCCCCGTGCCACCAGCTCGCCGTGCCACCCCCGTCCCCTGCCCGCAGCCCTTCGGCCACCCCGGCACTGTGTGGGGTGGGGACCTGGGTGCCAGCCCCTGCCCCCGCTGGCTGCGCCCCCCCGGGGACCTCCCCGCACCACCGCGGGCATTGCAGCCGGCAAATTAAATCCCCAGCTGGAGCCCCATAAATCGTGGCCCGCGCCAGGCCTGGCACTCCATTAAAATGAAAGATTTCCTCGCACTTCGCAGGCGCCCGGCCTGCGCCCCGGCAGCAGGTAATTAAAGCAATAATTGCTGCTGATTGCGCCCGCCTAAACGAGGGAAAGGCGGGTGCTGGGGGAGCGGAGGACTGCCGGTCCTGCTGTGCCCAGGAGGGCCTGGGGGTGCCAGGCCCCGTGCGCCCCACACAGCCTGGGTACGGGGTCCCCTTTGGCGGGTGCCGAGGTGGCACCGCGCGGAGATGCCAGCCAGGTGCTGGTGCCAGCTCCATCCGGGCAGCGAGCCAGCAGGGTCGGATGCCAAGGCCGGGCAGCGCAGCCCGGCTCCGGGCCAGTCTGGTGTGCGGCAAGCCCCGGGCAGCAGGGACAGCGGGCACAGGGCGCCAACGCGTCCCCGAGTGCTGCAGGGCACGGCCGTGTGCCACGGGCACGGTGCCACTCCCCGACAGCGTGTCCCAGCGTCCCAGTGCCTGGCACCACCCCACAGGACGGCCACGGGAGACCCTGGCGTGCGCCCCACGGGTGCCGCCCCCATGGGTGCCAGCCCCACAGGCCACTGTCCCGTGGCGCTGCAGCGGCTGCGTGGGGGCCGCAGGGTGCCCGGCTCCCGGCGAGCGCGTGGCAGCGTCTGGGCGCTGATTAAGCGTGCGGTTGTTATGAATGAATTAGTCAGGCGGGTTTGCATGACAATGGAACTGCCTAATTACGGATTTTAGCTGATAACATTCTCCCCATTACATGCAATTAGCATGTGCCAGTGCGGGCACAGCTCCGCGGGCTGCACCCTCGCGCCGCCCCAGCGCCCGCCAACGGGGCTGCCGAGGTGCGTGGTCCAAAGCATGCCCACGCCTCCAACATGCCTGCCCCACAGCCGGGTTTTGGGGACAACGGGGTGCCAGCAAAGCAGCAGGGGGCAGCAGCCTCTCACCTCTCTGCGGACCAGCTCTGGGTGCCACCAGCTCTGGGTGCCACCCGCCCCTGCAGCCAGCGGTGGGCACCCAGGGCACCCCAGAGCCTCTCTCGGCCCTGCTGCCCTGTAGCACAGAGCTCTGCTCCCAGCCAGCCCCCGGTGCCCACCGAGCCCCCCGCCAGGACCCGTGCCAAGCTGTGCCAGCCCCAACGTGCAGCGATCGGAGAGCTGCACAGGGGAGAGGGGCCCGGTGTGATGCGCTGCCTGGGGGCTGCGCTGGTCCGGGCTGTGGTGGGGTTGGGACCCAGCCTGGGGGAGCCGAGCGGCTTTTCTGGCTCTCCTCTAATTGACAGTAAAGAACAAACGCTCTGACCGCACTCTGTCCCCGCCGGGAGGAGCGTCAAGGTCACCCTCAGCGCTGGGTCCCCGGCCGCAGCAGGAGGGAGCCAGGTGGGAGGCCGGGGAAGGCCCCTCTGGCCACACCACGGTCCCAGGTGCCGGGGTCCGGCCCCATCCCACCCACAGCTCCGTGCCCCACGGCTGTGACCAGCAGCCGCAGCACACCACAACCGAGAGCAGCCAGGGCTGGCCAGGAGGGGGCTGGGGCTTGAGCCCCTCACCCGTGGCCAGGAGGGGGTCCCAGCATGGAGCCAGCCCACCCCGTGCTGCCGGCGGGCAGACACTCGACCTGCAGGAGCAGCGATGGTGCCGACAGCCAGAGCAGTGCTGGCACCGAGGGTGCAGGGCAGGGTGGGACACGCACGGTGCCATCACCCCGGGGGGGCACCGGACCCTGGGTGCGCCCACGGCTGCGAGGTGCCAGGGGTGGCTGTGAAGGTGCTGAGCCCCGAGAGGCACCGGCAGCGCCCCGGTCCCCTCCTGCAAGCACCTGCCAGGCTCCGCCAGGTTTGATGTAGTGCCAGCCCCACGTGGCACCGAGCCAGAACAAACAGCCCTGGGCAGGCTGCGTCTGCCGCGCTCACGCTGACAGCTGGCACGGCAGCTTCCCGGCCGCCCCGCGTGCGCCAGCCCTGCCCGGCGCCCTGTCCTGCTGCCCGCCCCGCTGCTGAGCCTGCCCTGGGATGCAGCGAGCTGGGGGGGCTGCGAGGATGGGGGTGCAGTGGTCTGGGGGTGCCCTGTGGAGCCAGGGGGGCTCTGGAAGCCGAGTGAAGCTGGCAGCACTGCGTGGCTCAATGCGTGGTAAGAGCTGTGCCCCCAGCCCACAGCTGCCCCCAGGGATGTCGGTGTGATGGGGATGTGCCCTGGGGGCAGGGGATGCACTGGGGCCTGGATGAATTTGGGGGGGGTGAGCACCAGCTGCTGTAGATGCAAAGGGGAAGGGGAAAGGAAAGGGTCCTCAGGTAGTGATGGGCCAGGGTAGCTCCAGGGTACGGATCCTGTCCCGTGTCCTTGCCACCCACCAGAGCAGCAGCAGAGCGGTGCAGCCCTGGCCCCTCAGCACCCTGCTGCCACGTGATCTGCTCCTGCCCATCCCTGCGGGCACCAGGAGCCCAGCAAGGTCCGGAGACAGCGCTCCACGGCTGCAGGCAGGGCCCCCTGCCCAGGACACCTGGGTTCCCCTGTCCTGCACCAGTACCTCACATCTCTGGGGATGCTGTGCCATGCTGTGCCATGCTGTGCCGTGCCATGCTGTGCCGTGCCGGGCTGGAGAAGCACCCAGAGCACCGAGGCCCAGCCCCACCGTGTCTGTGCCGAGCAGCAGCCGTGCAGGTGGCTGGGATCGGTCGCGCCGCGGCCGGCTGTGAGCTGCCTGCCAAGCGAGAGGCAGCGGCGGGCGAGCTCCTGCACCGCACTGCCCCGAGCCAGCGCTGGCACCGCCGCCCCCCCCGGCTCCCCATTTTTCCCTCTGCATACCCGGCACGGGGCGCACCCACCGTCCCACCACCCTCCGTCTGTGGGTCACCATGGGGACAGCCCCGCTCCTTGCCCGGCTGGGTGCTGGTGCCCACAGCACCCTGCGTACGGGGTGCCCTGCACCCACGGGGGCTGCCCCCCAGGGAGGGCAGCGTGCCACCCACTGTGCTTGGCCCCGCAGCGTCCCTCTGCAGACGGGGCCGTGCTGGGAGCACTGGGCGCAGGGTCCCCGCGGTGTCCAGCCAGGAAGGATGCGTGCGGGTAGCACGGGGGCTGCAGCCCCCCCACGCTGTTGGGGTGCGTACCCGCTCAGCCCACCCGGGTGCCACCGCACCTGCCTGGCACATCGAGGCCAGGCGAGGGGACGTCTGTGCTGGTGGCAGGAGGGGTGGTGGCCGGGACCCCCAGGGTACATAGGAGCCCCCCCCGCCCCGGGGCCCCCAGCAGAGCACACGTCCAGCTCGGGCGCAGCTCCCCTCCCCCTGCTCGGTCCTTTGTCTGCAGCCGCCACTTCCAGGCTAACGTGACACCTGCCAGGAGCCGCCGCCACCGCGGGCACCCCCGCGCCCACCCCGCAGCCCCCGGCCCGCCGTGGGGGGGATCCCGGCACGGCAGCTCCCCCTCCTCCCTCCGTGTCCCAGCCCCGGGGCTGCGGGCGCACGGGGCGTAGCGGGCTCCGGACCGTGCGCGGCTGCACCAGCACCGACGCAGCCCCACGCACCCCATTCCTCGCCCCCCCAGGCGCCCCCCCATCCCCACCCGGGGGTGACAGCAGCCCTGTCCCCTCCGCCACGGTCCCCCGCGTCCCGCCAGGTGCCGGGGCAGGCAGGGACCCCCCGCGCTGGGCGAGGACCCCCCACGCGGAGCAGCTCCACTGCGGGCTCCGCGGGGGGCGGGGAACGGAGCCAAGGGGGCGAGGCGGTTGTAGGGGGGGGACACGCGTGTGCGGCCCCGCGTGGGCGTGGGGAGGGGGCGGCAGTGCCCGGCTCGGGGCAGGGCGCACAGCACCATCCCCGTGCCCGGCCAGCCGGCACCCCGCGGTCAGGCGGTGCCCCGGCGCTCCGCAGCCCGGGGGGGGGGGGGGGGGATCGGGATGCAGCGTGCACCGGGCACGGCACGGCACGGCGGCAGGAGGGGAGGACCCCCCCTAAGCCCCCAGCACCCCCACACCCGGCCGGGCACCCATCCCGGAGGGTCCCCCCCGCTGCCCTCCCGGGGATGCTGTCCCGGGGGTGACCTTGCCCGGGGACTCACCGGCGGCGGCCAGGAGGGCAGCGGCGAGCAGGGCGCCGAGCGGTCCCGGCGCGGCGGCGACGACGGCGGCGGCGGCGGCGGCGGAGGAGGCGGCGGGGGCCCGGCGGCGGCGCGGCCGCGCACCCATGGCGCGCCCCGCGGAGCGCTGCGGGCCGAGCGAGCAGGCGGCCGCGCTCCGCGGCGCCCTCAGCGGGCCATGGAGCCCCCGGCCCCGGCCCCGGCCCCGGCCCCGGCCCCGCCGCTGCTGCCGCCCGCGCCGCGCCGCCCCGCACCGCTCCGCCCGGCGCCGCCAATGCGGGGCGGCCGAGCGCGGACCCGCCCGCGGGAGGGACGGCGCAACAGCTGGGCGCGCCCCCGCCGCCGCCACCACCGAGCGGGCACGGCCGCCCCCGCCCCGCACCCCGGCACGGCTCGGCACGGCTCGGCACGGCTCGGCACCCCGCTGTCCGCCCCGTGCGCCGCCCTCCGGCACGGCGCTGCCCGGCCCGGGGACGCACGGGTGGGCTCAGCCCTCCCTCTGCACCGCGTCCCTGCGGGGGACGGCACCCACGGGTGGCACCCACGGGTGCGGCAGAGCTCCCAGCGGGGGTGAGCTGTGCTCGCCGCCCCCCTCCCCGCACGGTGCCCAGACCCCTGCTGTGCCTCCTGCGCTCCCCTCTCCCCCAGCCCCTGCTGCCCCTCGTGATGGGCAGGGGTCCCCCAGCCCACCGGGCACCCGCACGGATACTGGGGTGCGGGGTGCCCCCAGCAAGCACCAGCTTGCACTTGGAGGTGTCACAGACCCGGGGACACTGTTTTGAGGGGACACGTGCCACCCGTGGGCACTCAGCAGGCAGCGAGGCCCCACCTTGCCACCACCCCGCACTGTCCCCACACAAGCACTGGGTGCCATCCAGCCGAGGTCCTCAACCAAGGCTGGTGTTTTGCTGCAGCCTGGGCACGGGGCAAGGAGGGTGAGGCTGCTTTGGGGTGCCCGAGGTGATCCCAAGCCAGCTCCAGTGCTGCTGAGCATCTCCTGTCCCCGAGCTGCCCCTGTCCCCAGCAGCAGGGGCTGGGCAGGGGGCAGAGCTGGGCAGCGGCTCCGAGCACCGCGTGGAGTTAATTTCATTAGCAGCTCCAGGAGCAATTAACAACTGCTCCGCTGCCTTCAAGAACTGAGGCAGGTGTGAAGCCAGGCACGGATCTCCAGCCCGCACCGCAGCCTCCACCTGCCCCGGTGCAGGGCCAGCAACACCAGGCAGAGCCACAGCCAGCACAGCACAGCGAGGGGCACGTTGGTGAGATGGGGATCTCATTAAATCTCCCACCATCAGGCTGCTCCCGCTGCTGGGGAGCCCCACACCGATACAGCCACGTGCCAGCTGTGTGCATGGATAGGGATGGAGCTCGTGGGGTGGCACCCATGGGTGCCTGCTCCCTGCCTGCTGTCCTGCGCTGTGTGACCCCAAACCCCGGCACATCCCGCACGGGGACTGGTGGGTCTGGCAGAGGGACCCCCCCAGCCTCCCTTGCATGGGCAGGAGCCCCGGCACGGCGTAAACACCCTCCCTCAGGCTGGCTCATTATTACTAATGGCATTCGCATGGAAACAGGATGTTTTTACTCCTCGCCGCTCCATCTGCTCCTGCTGAAGTCACCGCGCCACACGTGAGCTCCCGGGGGGCTGCCATGGGAACCGGCACCAGTTCACCTCGCAGCGCGGGGACCCTCAGCCCGGGCTTCTGGGACCCCCAGCAGTGGCACTGGGGAGGGACATTGGGGTCGGGCTCTGCCCCGTTCCCATGCCGTGTGCTGCCCCTGTGATGCACGGTGCCGCCTGGGTGCCACGCTGGTGCTGGGCTTCGCCGGCCACGTCTCTTGTCACCCTCGATGTCCCTCCTGTACCACGGCCTGGCGTGGCAGGGCTGTCACTGGAGAAGCGGCTGGGCGCGCTGACGAGTTAATAGACGCTAATTAATACAGATTGGGGAGATCACTTTCAATTCTGCTCGCTCTCCCTCTTGCTGAGGAAGGAGCCAAGGGGGTGGATGAGCTGGATCCTGCTCCGCTGCTGCCAGGGCTGGGCCAGCCTGGCCCATGCCAGTGGGGACATCCAGGCTGTGCCGTGTCCTCCTGGCTATCCCCATGCGCCCACCGCAGGGTGCTCAGCACCCAGTGCCACCCCGCTGGGCGGCTGGACGGCCGTGTGTCCCGCCACCGCTGCACCCCGGGGGGATGCCGGCGACGCTGGCCCCGCCGGGTGCTGTAAATGGATTATTATTCGGAGTAATTAAGATGGAATTAAAAATTAATTCTCTTCTCCAGCACGCCGCGGTCGTGGCTAAGCTGCGTGCTGCAGACTTTGTGCCAGGGCTTGTGCCTGAAAGCAGCGGGGCTGGGGCAGAGGCGGTGTCACCCGGGTGCTGGTGGCACGGCACGGGGTGTCCCCAAGGGGCTCGTCGGGCTGCAGCTACCACCAGCCATCGCTGCCACCTCAGTGGGGACATCACATCGCTGCCCCTCACTATGTGCCACGTGCTGGCCAAGCTGTGGCCGGGCAGAGCCCCTGCCCTCCCAGCCAGCCCTGGTGTCCGCAGGCAAGGCCAGCACCAGGGTTCTCCAAACTCCCATCAAACATTGAAATGTGTATTTGAGCTCATGTATAATGGATCGTCCTCGTGCTTCCTCCCCATCCATTTGTGGTATTTAAGGAAGTAGAATATTAAACACCATTGTATTAGCAAAACTGCTGCCTGACTAATTGAGTTACAAAGGGAGAAGTGCTGACGAATAAACAGTGCATAATGTGTGGCTCTGGCGAGCAGGATGTGGCCACGGCACCGGCACCGGCTGTGCCCGGGCTGCACGGGTGCTGGGGGCCAGGATGGGCAGGGACCGGTGCTGCTGGCCCCGATGGCAGAGCCGTGGTGTGAGAAACGTGTGGCATGCAGGGCTGGGGCACATGTGGCACGGCACGGCACGGGATGTCCCGGGCCTCATCCTGCACGGGGAGGATGCTCGGAAGCAAAGCCAGGAGCCTGGGTGCGAACGCAGCCACACAAGGAAGAGAAAGATTATGAAAATGAAAAGTAAATAAATATGGATGTTGAGGACCTAATTCTGATAAGAGGATTTTCAAAATTAGCCATTTGCAGGAGTAGATTAACTGCATCTAATGCTGGGGGTGGGAAGGGCTCTATTAAGACACAGCAAACCCCGGCCCAGCCCTCCCCGCGCAGCCTCCAGCGCCTGCAGCAGCGCTCGGTGCTTTCAGGGAGGCAGATTTGTTGTGCTGGAGGGCAGCGGGCTCTGACACCAGCCTGGGGCATGGCCCTGCTGCCGCCCCTTGAGCCCTTCCTGGCCCCAAAGGGTCCCGGGGACGTGGTGCCATCGCGCTGGGACCTCCCTGGCCAGCACTCGGGGAGCCTGCTGTAGGACTGGGATGAGAGTGACAAAGATGAGGGGAGCAGGGGGGAGAGGGCAGCAAAGCCACCGCCCTGGGCACCCCATGGGCACCCTGTGACAGCCACCACAGCGGGTGCCCCAGCTGGAGCGGGTGCCGATGCCCCCGGCACGGCTGTGGGTCCCCTGTGTGGGGCTGGGGGCACCTCCGTGCTCGGTGGGCAGGAGCGGGAGGCTGCCAGGGCTGGCGGAGGCTTTCCGCATCCCCCGTCTCGGATTTTCTATCCAGGCAGCCAAGCAGAAATCTCATTACAGCCCGGCACAAAGGCAGCGTCCCCGAGCGTGGCTGGGAGCTGGCACAGCCTGGGGCGGGCACGGCTGCGAGGGTGTCCAGGAATGTGGGAAGGGGCTGTGCCCCCCCTGCACCCTCCCACATCCCCCTGTAGGGTTCTGCACCCCAAAGTACCCCCCAGTCCCTGCCCCAGCCCCAGTCATTGCCTACAGACGCGGCTTCTGCTTGCCCCAGGCCCCCGGGTGCAGCCGAGTGCCTGCCAGCCCTATGGGGTCAGCTGCGGGTCCGAGTTTGGTGCCGGTCCCGTGGGGATGTGAGCACACAGGCGGGGCTGGGTGCAGCCACCCCGGGTGCCTGGCGCTCCCACAGCAGCAGCAGCAGCAGCCAATTAATTAGCAGGGCGGTGGGAGAGCAGCTGGAGCCGCTGGGGGATCGATGGGCGCATCGACCGCCTGGGAAACCCCAACCCTCCCAGCAGGGCAGGGGGCGCGGGCTGCAGCAGCAGCAGCCCCATGCAAGGGGACATCGAGGGGCACAGCGGGGCATGGAGCCAGCCAGGAAAGGATGGGGACAGGCGGTGCCACCGCCACCACCCCGGGGAGAGCGGCCAGTGCCGGTGCCGTGCAGCAGGGACGTGGTGGTGCTAATGGAGCCCCCCCGCCTCCGGGCTGCTCGGAGGCATTTACGTCAAGGGGAGACCTGGGACGCTCAGGATGCTCGCTGCGATGCGCCGAGGTCACTGCATGGGCACAGGGGAGCAAACCCCAAAGCCCTGGTGGCCTGGTGCAGGGCAGGGCGGCACCGCCTGCAGCCAGCCGGAGTGCCACGGCATGGCCATGGCTGCAGGGCCCCGAGCACGAGGCTCCTGTCCCTGTCCCTGTCCCCATCCCACCCGCCCGCTCCCCCCGCCTGCCTCTGCCAAGCGGGGAAGTGCCAGCCCGTCTGTCCCCGCGGGGAAGGAGAGTGCTCAGCCGTGTTGCAGGAGCGTGGCTGCCACCGTCACGCAGATGAGAAGTGACAGTGAGGGACCCTGCTCAGGTACAGGATCCCTGCAGCGCAGGGCAGAATTTGCTGTCCCCCTCTGCCCTGCCTCTGCCTCCGGCACCAGGGGACAGCCCTGCAGGCACTTAACCCCTTCCCACCACGCAAACCCCGATTTGGGACCCCACTGGCAAATCCCTCTGCTGGAGGGGAGCAGCCCCAGCACCGCCGTGCCCACCCGCCCCATGCTGCAGGATGGGGCCGAGCCCAGGAGCACCACACGGGGCTGCAGCCCCCCACCCATGTGGGATGCTGAGCGAGGGGGGGTCTGCAGGCCCCTCTCCCCCCTCTCCTCCCGCACCGAGCGCTGTCTCTGGGGAGGTTGTCATGGGAACGGTGCCGTGCTGCCCCTCATCGCGGGGACCCCCACCGCATGCCGCGATGCTCCTGGAGGGAGGGCGAGCTCAGCCGGTGCCCACACCAGGATG